ATTTGCCTCAATACAAACCTATTCTGGTGAGCACAATGTGACCTAGGATTCTAATCCCGGAATTTTAACTTTTGCAAACTTGAAATATTTCTTATTTCCATTTTACATCGACTAAACAGTTCTTTGTTTAGTGCCATGAGAGTGTTTCGCATGCATTTCCACTGCTGTTTGTATAAATATCAAATATAATTATATACATTCGTTAGGTTTAAAATCGGCTCGTAAGAGACGCTGACAAACTTGCAGAAACAGATTCAGGAGTACGGTAGTCCACAATGGTTGTTAGTAATTACACTTTTTCTGTCTATTCAAGCATGCGCTTCCTGTAGTCCGAAAGTGTAAAATAGCCATCCGAAAGACAATGAGCATCATGCATTGCATTAGGCTCGCTTTCATGCTCTTGCCTTCCGAACTACTCGCGCAAGCCTTCAGTCTTTTCGTTAGAGCGCAGTTCGAATATGGAGTGCTAGCACGGATGTCCTAACAGAGGTAAGACAGCGACTCCAGCGGGCAGGGGGTAACGACCGTTGAAAAATAACGGTTGAGGTCTTAGAACTCTGTCATATCCAATATAATTGGTGAAGTTTAAAGAATGCAAAGACAACTAGATTCACACGCCAAAATGCCAGTGTGTATCTTCCTCCCTTCCACAGGTGATATGTTTTCCAACGTAATCAAACAACGGCTTCAATTCAAGATTGAACGAACGTAGACCGCCTCTAACGCATTGTTCATAAGCACAACAACGGCTGTTCCAGTAAGATAAACTAAACACTGTTTGCCTATACATGCCACAACCACTGCTATTTATCAGTTTACATGTAGTTGCCAATGCAAATACACTGGGCACCCGCAAAGGCGACGAGGTCAGATTAAAATATCTCGAACTGGCTGCTTAGGGCGGAAGATAAGACACCCAAGAGTTCAATCACTAAACCCTTACTGGACACTGGCCATAAGGCAGATCCATGGACTTGTCGTACTTTGGGCGACGACAGGTCATTTCCTGGCAGTTGCAGAAATCGCTGCAATACGCCCAAGAAAAGCAGAATTCTGTAAGCAGCTGAATCACGTTACCAACTTTGCATTGCCGTGGTAATGACGGATGAAGGGCCGAAACCCATTTCATCCCCCTTCCTCTTACGTCCCC